ATAAGCAGTACCTTTTGTTTGTGTTTTCCTTTTATTAAATGTATTTTGTTTTTTTCCTGTGCAATAAATAATAATAAAAAAAAAGTTGTATTTAGTTGATTTTTATCTTAAATAAAAAATAAGGTATGAAAATCATGTCACTAAATTTGATTGCCACCTTAAAAATTTATTCTTATACTTCGTCACGACCTCGGTGGTTCAGTGGTTGGCACTGTAGGCGTTAGATGAGGTTTCATTCCGGGTAGGTTAATTTTATGAAATAGACCTTATTTGAATTGGGTAAAGTGTTTATTTTGTAATCATGGATTTTTTTGGTTTGAGACCAGATTGTCAGGCATCATTTATTTATTAAGCATGTTTTTATTGCTTTCGGCAATTTCAGGCACCCATGTTCATACTGTCCGTATTCTTTAATAAAAGCTTATTGATTTTGGTAGACAACGGAAATAGTGTAAGCTTCCAAGGAAGCGTTCTGGAATCCGAGCTGAGATTGCCGACAAATAACAACCTACCGCAGCGCCGGCGCAGGATTAGCAGATTACACGCGTTTATCCCTGCTCACACAGTTTATCTCTGCTTAGATCATCTTAACATGTACACTTTGTCTTTTGGAGCAACGCCTTTAATGTCTCTTTTTTGAGTAAGTATGTACATATACACCTCACCTTGTAATTACGTACAGCCTGACACACACATAATACACGCTATTTATGCTTTAGCAAGGGATTTGAGTTGTAGAATAACTCAGAGTTAATTATTGTTTGTTTTTTTTTATCTACATTCGAGAACAAATTAACTCTTGCTTTTATTGCACTATTTGAGTAAGAGATAATTTTTTTTTGTAGTTGAGCGCCTGGCGCCCAGGAGATTAATGTTTCAATAACATTTTTCATGTTTAACCGACTTCAAAAAAGGAGGATGTTCTCAATTTGACTGTTTGTTTGTTTGTTTGTATGTTATGCGATAACTCCTACGACCGAACTTCCTGAACCGATTTTGATCAAAACTAACGTAGAAAGATATGGTGCTTGTTGGAAAGATTGTACCTCAGTATTGGTCCCATTTAAATTTGAAGAAAATGTTCCACCTCTAAGGGTGGCCAACTAGGGGATGCATGGGGTTTCGCGCACTTTCCGGTAAGCGATTTCAATAAAACTTAGTTTTTTAGTACGCTATATTGATCGCTATTAACTATAATGTTTCCTCTATCCGTGATAGGTCTGGTTCTACCTTGATTATAACGGGTAACAAGGGATCTTGACATGTGGAAAATCGTAATAATATATTAAAATTCATAATACATTTTTTTACGTTGATGTAAATTAAAATTTACTTGCGGAAGGTTTTATGTTATTCAATTAAAGAAATGATACTACAGATTGAACCTGGCGGAAAAATGCATTAAAAATCTATCCTAAGCCTAAACAATTCAGGTTCCTTTCAGGTTTGTTCGATGTTTCTCATTAGGTCTATTCCTAATTAAACATGGTATCTAGCTTATAATATCGTGATAATATTAACAAACTTGGATACGAAAGTAAGTTGAACGATAGGACGAGAAATATTTGGTAAAAACGTGTTTTCCATATTTTTTGTTTGTTTCGTCATTGTTTTACGTACGTCTGATCATAGGCTAAAAGGCTTATAGCTCATAAGCATTTAACATCTTCGTGAAACTACGAGTGTAAAGAAACACAAGCAGCTCGTGGCGAGATTACATCGATACGCCGCCATTATCACTGATAGCCGGTCGTTGACCCCTGCGCCCGCCGGTCATTCGCCACTTTTTCAACGAGGTGAAAACTATAGCTTCTTATTAAATAGTAAATACTGTAACAGTGTCCTGGATATCTTTTTTGAGTAATACCATCGGTTTGTGAATCCGTTCTCATCCGGAGTAAAAGTACATTATGTAACCAGGAAGTGACCTATATATATAGTAGCAGTAGAGGTCCTTGTGAAAGAGTTCATCTAGGGAAGCACTGTCACCTTTGCGTTCCGATTTTGAAGGTGTGTTGGTGAAATTACAGGCACAAAAGACTTGTTGACTTATATATCAGCGTGACGGGCGCAGTGGCTTAGCCCTTTAGATCTTTGCGATTTAAAGCTCTGTGTGGCATTTTTTTTATATCATATGGGAACTAGAAAACCCTATATCGCGGGTGCCATGGACACACACATAGAAAACCACAAATTACACCCAAAGTCACGAGAGAAATAAATGCAGGCAGGTACTTGGTGCTTGGTGCAACGGGCTGGTATCCGCAACTCGACGAAAAAAATATTGAATAATAATGCCGGCTATACACATATTTCGGCCGGACTGGGAATCGAACCCAAGACTTCTGCGTGGCAGTCCAGTATGGTAACCGTTCATAGCATTGCAACTGCTATGGACAGGCGTGACGCTTGTCTAGTTCGTCCCGGTGTCATAGAAAAAAATTCTGCAATATTTCACCAAAATCAGTTTTAACATAATGTGATAGAGCATGTATTTTCCTACTGAAAAGAAAAAAAAGTAATTTAATTCTAAAAGAGAAGCTTGAAATAATTTATGCTCTATGTAAATTCCATATTTATTGCATATTATGTTACCTATTTTTACTAACAGAGTAAGTAATAACCTAAAATTTTATACGACAAAGACCAAAACAATGCAGAAAACTGAAAATCATGTACCAACCTTCACTTAGCATAGAGTCCTCATTAAACTGGACGTTTATTCATGAACTAACGTTAAACAAAAGTGAAATTATGTGTCGGCTTAGTTCAAAGTGGTCGCAGTTTATTACCATGGCGACTAGATTGTGTTGTCTTTTCAAAATCAGCCCGACTATTACACGTTGGGCAATGTTTGCGCGTTTCGAAACAAATAGCTGCGTATGCGTAGTCGCTTAGTTTCCGGATAGCTTGAGGATTCTGGATTCAGTTAGGTTTCATATTATTATTAACTCGATAGTGTTTTTATTTAACACGTTTTGTGAGTGTGTGTAAATTGTATTATGTTTACAATGCCTCGCAGTTTTTTTATTACTAAACGTTATTCCTTGTCGGGTTGTTATGTACAGACGAAATTACGTCATATTTTGGCGTGGTTGTTACAGTAATCCGGGTTAATCTCTTTTGAGATACTTTTGACAACAAGAAAATTTTTATAATTTATACAGAATGCACACGGACGATTTTTATTTTTTCAAATGTAAATTTAAAGTGACATGAGTGGCATCACGGACGAGCAACTTTTATTTTTATTAATTCCTTTTTTTTTAGATCCCATCGCGTTCGGTCATCGAATTCCATAGTGGAACTTTCCTCTTTTATGTTATCTGTCAATACACTTGATAGGTTTACATGGCGGCACGCGGCGGGAAGAAAGTTTCTTGTAAACAGAATTGCTGGTTAGGCGATTTTGTCTGATGCTTTTAAACAGCTGAAAACTTTCATTGAAAGTTCCAGAAAACCAGGTCCCTCCCAAATTATAAAAATATATAATGGAAATGTTAGTAATAACCTCGATCGTACGAAATAGTTTTATAAACATTCGTACTTCTTAAAAACTATTAAGGTGCGCTACAGATCCAAATCAATAGGGGCTATAGTTACTAAATGTATGATAGGAACTTTATTTGTCCATTTATCTGAAAGTAAGATCAACAGCTTTAAACTAAATCAAATAATAATAACCACAATTGAGAGCCAATACAGATTCTCATAAATAGAAATATAATAAGGAACCTGGATGGTCAACTTAACTAACTTATTGCACAAAGCGTAAATTATTATATAAAACATAAAAAGACCACCGCAATTGTAAGCCTCACTATGAATCAAATAAGTGCTCACTCATTGCTCTCCTTGTCGAAATCATGCATGCATTGAAAAGATCCAAATCAAAAGAATTACATGAAATATAATGATTGATTAGTATGAAGGTGTATACCTATTACTTAATTCCTTGGATTTATTAATCCGTATGGATGAATAAATCCAAGGAATTAATTTATAATTTAATTAAGTAATAAGACTATTTTTTCGAATCTAAATTGCGTAAATTTGTTTTTTTCAGGCAGCCGTGACCATTGGGACCTGTAAAAGGCTAAAACCGTTGGTTTGTTTGAAAAAGAAATACATGCGATCTAGATCCGAAAAAATAAGTTTAATTTAAAATGTGTAACAATCGCGAAATGAATTAAGTAATAACTACTCTAGGATTCAAGAATTTTTCTGTGGTAACATGGAGGCCTTCGAATTAAACTCAATTGGTTTTTCGATCCATGTAAACTTTCCCTAACATCAAGTATTGAATATCCAGCGTTAGATTAATATTTACGACCATTTTATTTTTGTACTTTATTAGTGTTCAAATATCATTAACGATTAGTGTATTGCACCTTAGTCTCGTCTCTCGCTATAAGTAAGTGAATTTATTACTTGAATGTCACTGACGGCGTTTCTAGCGGTGAGGCGTACACCTGGGGCGTAATAATTATTAACCAACAGATTTAGGAATTCTTAAAATATTTACTTTCTATTTAATTCACGTATGAGTTAATTAAATTGAGGGAGGTCGAAGAAAGTTTGGTAATAGCATCTTGGGTATTGATTATCGAATTAGTGTAAGTGATATAAATTAACAGAAAGATAATATGGAGCCGGTTCCATATCGAACGAAATTGAATTAAGTAGACTACCTTTACGTAGGGTTAGGTAGACGGGAAGAAATCTAAGGCAGGAAACGGCTGGGTACCTATCATATGGTTGATATATTTATGATGAAGATTATACAGGTTTCAAACGTAAGGGCTACACCACATTTAACTAACACTCATTCGCTACATAATTATATTTTTTACATTTCTGTAATAATCATAATTAAGTGATAAGTCACCGCGTGAGTGTTCCTAACTGTGGTATTTAAACCTAAAATTTAAACCATAATTTTATGATTAAATTTTAGTCACAAGGTTATCTAGACTTAAAAATAATTTGTTTTGTTACAGCGAATCTCACCCTCATCGGTGGAAAAGAGCTCGAGCTACTGATCTACTCCCCCATCCAGGACATGTATCTCTGTTTCAACCGTTCAAGGCTGATCGGCAGGCAGATGGTGAGTACCAATATTACTAAACCACATTACAACAACGAACTGAAAATGTAACATCGTATAATAGCTACGTTTCCTCGTTCGCAGACACGAGATCAAGCGGAGAGACAACAAAAATGCATCTTCAAAGAGGAGTTTTTAAACGGCTACAACAGATACAAACTAGCAAAGTACCCCCAGGTCTACATCGGGTTCAACCATCTCGGAATGCCAATGCGCTACTCCAAGAATCGGCCTATGAAGCCCCGTTGCACTTCTTTCTTGAAGGGGGATTACGGGTTCGATATCACCAACCACAATTTACAAGTCTCCGCCGGAGAAAATGCCGTCTACCAGCGCCCGCAGCGTAGACTCCGGCCTCCGCCCCAGAATTCCATCAAGAATTGTCACGGCATCCGCCACCGCCACGGCAGACACAGTAGGCGGAAGAACTGCCACGGCACGTAGAAAAGCAATCCTATTACGTATTAGCAGCTCATTTACGCTTCAACGCTTCGCGCGTTCCGTTGCCAGCTGTCGATGGATATTGTGAGTGGACAGAGTATTAGTCAACTACCGCAGTATTATTACAGTGACGAGGACTGGATAGCGTTAGGTTAGTGCTCGCGGTGGCCGCGGCGTCTCAAACGCCGCATGAATGGTAGCTGAAGCGAGCGAGCAAACATTTGAATGGGGAGAAAAAAGCCGAGCCGGGACGAACGTCCGCAGAGCTGTGAAATTCCTTAAGGTCGTGTAACATCGTGGCGCTCGTTTGCTCTTGTGCTTGCTAGGACTCGTGCTCTAAAAGGAAAAAAGGTTTTCTGTGGTAAGAGCAAATAGTAGTCCCGCCGGTCACGAGTCTTCCGACAGACCACCGCTGAACTGAAGTCCGTGTCCTTCGTAGCATGACGCGGGCGCGAGGTGGCTTGTGTTACGTCCTCATCACCAATAGATTTGCACCCTCGGTTGCTCCAGCTGGCTCGCCATAAGTGTAGCAAAACGCCTTTACGTCAATTCTCAGTGTGTTATTATTTAAAAGGCTTTACTGTTCGTGTTATGCTTGTAAATATAATTAAAGATAATTTGTGTTTACTTATTTATCGAAAAGCGTTAATCAGAAATTTGTAAACGTAGACATTAGTTGTAAAGTTGTATTAAAATATTTTGTATTTAATTATGGGTATTTAATCTATCCGACCTACCGCTCTCTTGTGATTAGCCGCAGTCGATACGTCCTAGTTTTCTTATTAACCTCTTGTAACCATTCTCGCAGCTCTGCTTTGTTTACAAAATATTTGTATTCTACTTTGTTACGAGATTGTATTTGATTGTATGGTTTGAGCGTTTTGTACATATATTATTTTAAGAGTTAGTCTGGGAGTGATAGGTTTCTGAATCTCTTCGTTAGTAGTCTGATTTCTCGATTTCTGTCACAATGATGCCTTTATGTTTCATTTGAGACGTACATAAATTGTGCGGTGTAATATTTGTAAAGCTAGTTTTGCTATTTGTGATACACAAACACCGAAACACAAAAAGCATCATTGATCCCCCATGTTCTGAAGAATTTTTTAAAATTTCTTGATCATCACGCATATCTATACCTATTGTAATAGAAGACATTATAATCTTAATATTTTAATAAGATCTGTGCCATAGTGTGGTGGCAATGTACAACTTTGTGTTCGCATTGTAACTAGTGTGTTAAGTTTGTCTGTAAACTACGAATAGAGAAAAATGTTAAACGTAAGACAAATAACTGAAATTAAACGTTAGTGTATCCTATACCCAGTGTATATTCAAATGGAAAGTAATTCGAATAAAAGTACTAGAATCGACCCCGGACAGGCAGTGTGAACTTCAGTCGTTGTTTTACATTACATTCCCATGTGTTCCATAGAGTAATGTACTCATAGACAATGCTAGTAAAAGAATATTGAAACATTCCAAACAATAAATTGTGTATTAATTTACAAAATATGCGCTTAAATACATAATACATTTTGTTAATATTGTGACACTGTCTACTTTATTATTGTGTCTAAATATAAGTATTCAGATGCTGAGAACGAAATCATATACCTAATTGCTAAGAAAAATTACGAAATTAAATCATATTTAACTCGCAAAGATTGTATTATTTTGGAATATTTTGTAGCCACATATAAATGTTTGCTGAGAAGTAGCCGGTCGGGTGCGGGTACAAAAAAGGCGATATTTCCAATAAACGGGCCGGAAGAGGGGCGTTTGCGGGTGAAACGTAAGTTTTAGAACAAACAGGGTAAAGTGGGCCTAACTGGGCATGAAGGCGCGTCGTAGTCCGCGCCGCGCCGACCGCTGCGCGTGCGTTCTTCGATTAGCACCTCCCTACCTGCATACAGAGCAGAACGGTGTAGAGACAAAAAAAAATATAGATGATTTCAAGTTAATACACTTATGTATTCTGCGTTTTTTTGAAAAATACAATTACGCGAGGGATATTCCGTGATTGCCAAAGTGAGCAAATAGGTACCAGTATTTGCTAGAAATTATGTAAACACTTTTGTTTAAAATTTCTAATGCTAATGCCACTAGTTCACACTCATGATAATGTATTCGACTAGGTAACAATGTTTTTAATCTAAAAATTCAAACTTACATAACTTTGGTTATTAACTATTGCAACTAAGTTATCGCTGTTACTTCGCAATAAATAATGGTTTATGTTTACATAATGTTCTCTGAGTTAGTCTTTTTAATTTTTTAAAATTACTTCACATTTTCCTTCAGTTTGTAAAACCGTATAAAATACTTAATTATTTCAAGGGATTAGTCAATATTGAAGAGATAACCTCATTTTATTTAATAGTAATAAGCCACGTCTTTTCATGTAGCACAATACCTCTGCCATATCGAATTGAAATAATTTCGTTTCATACTTGCTAAAAAAATACAATTAGCGCTAAATGTATAAGAAATCCGATTGTAATGTTTATTAACTCGAATACCGTAACATAATCTAAAACCTATGTTTTAGATATATCTATATATCTGCGCGACGCATTAGATGTCCGGCAATAGATAATTATCTAGCTAGATAGTTTCAAAACCTATTATCAACACTACAACCGATAAATAATTTCGGTATTGCAAAAACGCGTACCAATTCAACATCAGTGTTTAATGATGTACACCATTCTGTGATTATTGTGTCAGCGAAGAGGCCTTTCACAGGGATTTAAGCGCAATAATAATATATTATTATTATTATTAACCCCTTCATGGACAGCAACAGCGTTTATCGTGAAGTGAAATATTAAAATATGATAGTACGGGGTACCCCGTTTTGCTTCATGGATCTCAAAAAAGTACAGGCTTTTCAGTACGATTTCAAGTATTTACTGCTTGCCCATAGGGAAGTATCTAGAACGTACTGACAAAATTCAATAATTTACATACATTGAACATTATATCGCACTGCTATTACAATAGCAATAATATCATAACTCGAAATATGTGAAAATCAAGATTATATCAATGTTGGACGTAAAATTTGATTCTCTACATGTCAATAAAACCGTCGTTAGAATATTGTAAAAAACAACTAAAATATATCTACTTAGCTATTTAACTCAAAATGAGACACGCTTTATGTGAGCTAGTTCTGGCCAAAATAGTCCTTATTCAAAAACAAGAAATTATTTTTTCTCTTTTATTTTTAAATATGTATATTTGGTAAGTAGGAAATAACCTATACATAAATTTGTACAGATATTTCACGGGAAGCGAGCAATTCGTTTTTCGTCGATTCTGAGAAAATACACTTTTAGAGTTAATACACTATTGTATTAACAGTGCGATATATTGAATAAAAGTATAACCACTACGGCAAGAAAATACGATATACTGGCTTTTTGTGTGCGGTATATTTAAGTACCGTCGGTGAAAAGGTTAATAAATAGTTTTATGTTATTTAAGTAGCCTCTGACTGCTTTAACTTCTCTGTATAGCGAGAGAAGTAACCCTGGCCCAAACGGAGACATAGCTCGATTATGTTTGTAGATACTAACATATGTACTGATGTAAGTGCTAATTATATTCAGCGCGCCGAGGTTGGTGCATAGCACTCGTACAGGTGCGTTTAGTAAACTTTTTCATGTAGTCACTTAACCAAATTAAAAGGCATAAGTTTTGTCGACGGCAGACACATCGGGATCGCTAGCTAGACGAGCACAATGAACCGAATTTCGTTTTCGACACAGGCATATTCATAATTATTTGAATATATTAGTTATCACTTGTCGACAGGAAGATAAGTATTCAGTATCTACCTACTCAAATGTTATCAATTTTCCGAAAGCATGGCGAAGAAATTTTCACATTTAATTAAGAGTCCATACAACCTCTAATGGCTTTGGTAGATTCGGCATAACAGTGAAAGGTGTTGATTCAGTTTGGAAAAAATATATGGTAGAATTGAGGATGTACACTGATTACTATAAAAAAACAATACAAACGAAATTTAATAGAAGAAAATCGCTCTATTCATTAGGTACTTTACATAATACCAATGGTTTTTTTTTATATCAACTGTATTAAATAAGATACGTATAGTATACGATATATATTTTTCAAATGACTTCATTATATATATACATATTCTGAAATAAAGCCAGTATCCCTGTCACTCGATCCAAGCAAAATGAACCGTATTAGTATGGGAAAATTTTGAATTCGAGCTGAGGTAGTATCGACTCTTAAGCAGAGACAATTAATAATAACTACTTCGTAAAAAAAATCACGCGCGTGTTTAGATTTGAACCTGTATCTTTAACAGACTTAAAAAATTCGGTGGTTCTCAATTCGAGTGCAATTTTTTTGTGTGTTTACGCGATTACTCACTATTTGTGAACCGATTTCGATGATTCTATTTTGCGGAAGTTTGAAGTAAATATTCGACCTCTGATGATGGCAAATTAGGGGATGAATCGATTTATTGTATTTCACACATTTTCTGTTAACCGTTTCAATAAAACTTGGCAAATAGATGTAATTTCACAAATTATTGAGGTCAGTTTTTATATAAATAATCTCAGTACACAGTATTAAAAACCGACCTCAAAAGTTCGTGGAATTACATCTATTCGCCAAGTTTTATTAAAATCTGTCATCGGAAAGTGTGCGAAACTGGATTCATCCCCTAGCTTGCCACCCTTAGAGGTGGAATATTTTCGACAAATCTAAATGGGACAATACCAAGGTACCCTCTTTCCAACAACAACGAATCATCAATCGGTTCATAAATGCCGGAGTAATCCCATAACATGTAGGTACACAAAAAAAGTCAAATTGAGAACCTCCTCCTTTTTTTGAAATCGGTTAAAAAGTGATAATTATTTAACATTACCTACGTACGACATTTTGCGCACGTGTACGAAAAAAAGCAAAATATTAGTTACGTGTGAAAAATTTACAAAACCATTAGATATAACGTTGCCTGTGTCTGAGTTTATTTATTTACGAGTTGAGCCATTATGATAATTGTAAAGACAAATCAAGGCGTCTTATTTTATGTCAAGCTACACATTGACGGATCTTGTTCCGTTACTCTTGAGGCAATATTCGAACAACAATGTACAAAACAAATCAACCAACCAATTACAGCGTACTTTAAAAAAATGTAAACCTACATATATGCTCCGTACAATACATTGACGACAAATTTTAATAACAGCAATGGCAGTCCCTTTACGCATGAAAAGATCGTTCATTAATAATATTTTAAAGATTAAATACAACAGGAAATTTTAGTTATAGATTAATTCAGATTAGGAAATATCTCCGAAACTAGTGAACTAAACTGATATCGATAATTTTTTAGGTCATAGTGAAAGAATTAACGGAATCGGTTTTTTTAGGAATTCATGTCACGATAACAAAATATTGAATATATTCGATTTCAATAATCGATTGCAATTGTTCCAATATGAGTTGTTTAAAAACAAAATTAACCTAAGGATATTGAACACCAAGCTACAAATGAACGAGGAGGCACGTGTTGCCTCAAACGTGGTGAGCCAGGTGAACCAACACGATACCTACATTTGTGCTTGTAAGTATATTTGTCTACTTATTACCTTTATTTAAATTTCCAGTGGATCCTCCTTGGGACTGTTTAAGATCGAGGCAAGGTAACTTTTAAACGTGTTTATTTCGATTTGAAAATATTCATTTCAAACTGTACAGCGTAGATTTGGAGTTTTAAATAGTTAAAAAAAACATTGTCAAACGTGATTTTTTCACAGCAACGTAATATGTAAATGTAAAATACGTATATATGTATGTATAAATGAAAAAATAAAAACCACGTGCACTAAAGAATGACATATAAGTACGGTCTCGTAAAAATAATAAAATCAACTAAAACACGGTTCGCTTTCAACTAAAACCGATATTCATGTTAAAAACCTTCTGAATGGAGCAGATAAAAAGCAGCCCAAAACGTTAATCGAGGCATGATGCTTCCAACTAGTTAGGTTTGTGTTAACTATTTAACTAAACATTGAGCCGGTCCTACCTGGTGTTGAGATGTTTATGAATCGAGGGACGAGAATTCCATTTCCAACATTGTATTAGCTCAATGTGGGATGAACGAGTATCAAACAGTACCAAGAAGATCGTTGTCTAAATTTATAAAGTTTCACTTAATTACGAGAAAATTATGAACGGTGCATCAATTTTTACTATGTAATGTACATTCGATACCTGACCCTAAGATACATGACCTTCTCTCACATTCAACGGAAAACTGTAAAGGAAATGCAAGTTTTTGGTTGAAATACGCTTTTACGTAATGTAAAACGTCATTCACTAATAACGCAATAAGGAAGTCATATCATAATTAATTTTACGGCTCACAGGTTAAAGATTAAGCTTGTTTAACACCTTTCTTCACACTGAGTTAGTTAGGGGGTCAGGTATCTTAGGACTTAGACTTTACTTGTAAAATACGGATGTATTAATAATCTTCATGGGCGGAAAAGAGAACACTAATAAATAATCAAAGAAATGTCAGATTGTTAAAAAGAAAAATAAAAAGTAAATTGAAAAGATATCTCATTCTCATAAACAACGGGCTCTCATAGC